TCTTGCAGCCACAGTACAAGCGGTAGAGGCACGGGAAGGTATGGCCACATCACTCTGTTGGAATGCCCCTGTGTCTGTGCACCCGTCTCAACGCCTCATCAGCATTTCTAAACTCACTTGCATCTGCAGAACTGTGACGGAAAAGGAGAAGATGGCCCTCAGTGTAGCCACATGTCCCCCTGTTCCTCAGATGACCTTCACACAGTTTATGTCCTAAGTCTTTTTCTGTAATGACTGAAACTTGTGCAGCTGGTAATGATGACAGAAGTCACATGGTTTAAGTAGTTTGTTCTTTATTAAGAGAGTCAGATAGGCAAGCTTTGTTACCTAACGACTCAAAAGGGTAGCAGGTGTGGAGGCGAAGGCAGACTAGAATTTAGATGCTCCATTTCTGAAGTTGCCCTAAGGCATTCAAACTAAGGTGACTTTGTTTCTATGGAGACATATTTTAAATAATATCATTGGAATTGATAAACCAGTATTGTAGATTTAGTAATTTTATTAGATAAGATGATCCAAAGGGGAATTCATTCTCTGATGATACAAAATTGAATCAGGTTGGAATTATCGCTCAGTGGTCGAATGTTTGCCTAGAATGTGTGAGGCCCAGGGTTCAATCCCCAATACCACAAGAAGGAAATTTCACAGTTGGATCAGATAGGCAGTATCTAGAAGCTGGCTGTTGGTTTTTATCTGATGTTCGGCTCCTGGCTGTGAAGATGAAAAGCTGTCTTGAGCAGATAGTGCTCCTGCCACTTGTGTATGGTCAGAGGGATGCTGGTGCTTAAAGCTGCGACCTGTGTGCTGTGCTCTCCTGGTGTCGCTTTCCTAGAACTGACCTTTTCAAGTGTGTGGAAGCTAATTAAGAACTAATCTGTTTTCGTCAAGTTTATTTCTGCCAGAGTTTTTACTCTTAGGACAGTTTCTACCACACTTGGAGCTGTGTGGAAGCAGTGGTTGTGGACAGGGCTGATGAATCACGTTGCCTGTCATCAGATGTGTGCTCTGGGCCACCTTCCTGTGTGTTCTTAGGAGACTGCTGTGTGCTTGGAAACTCGGCTAAGTGTTAACTTGGCCACTGAGCACCTCCTCTCTTGTTCCTCTGCAGCCATCAGAGGGTATCCAACCAAGATCCGAAGTTTTGAAGAAGCCCGAGGTCTAGACCGAATTAATGAGAGAATGCCACCCCGAAGAGAGGGTGGGCATCCTGATGGGCCAGTGAAGATGGTGCACTCACACGCTGCACGAAGGGGCGACCACGGAAAGAAAGCCCTGAAGTGACTCAGAGCCCGGGCAGCACAGAGGAGTCCCCACCCTGCGATCAAATCGCGTTTATTTATTATTGGAAATGAAACAGAAACAACTCAGACAGCTTAAACGTGGAGGTGCATTGTAATTCAGTCGGGTTTATTCTGTAAGAAAGGTGACCATTTTATAAATTCTTTAATTTATGTTCAATATATATATATAAAGTACTTCTGTTTTCTTCCCAGCCCACCCCCGTCCTAATTTCAGGAATGGATCTAATTGTTGTCTCTCTCTCTGTGTGTGTGTGTGTGTGTGTGTGTGTGTGT